CCTGGTTTTCTTCAGTCACAAATCAGGTGTCTCACCTCTGAGACAGGGTCGTGCTTCCACAGAATCAGGGGTACATAGCTCTGTTTACTATTCTTTTTGAGACAGAGATACCCCTTTAAAGGTACTCTTGGAAAATTTATCTGCCAGGTGCTGACGACACTTTTGAGTTCATAAACCCGGACACATTGTCCTTCACTCAACTCAAGGGCAGGAATTGGGTATCTTAGGCCCTTAATCCACATGCTCAAGATCTTTTTTTAATGTTTATTTATTTTTGAGACAGAGGGAGAGCGTGAGTGGGGGAGGGGCAGAGAGAGAGGGAGATACAGAATCTGAAACAGGCTCCAGGCTCTGAGCTGTCAGCACAGAGCCTGATGCAGGGCTTGAACCCACGAACCGTGAGATCATGACCTGAGCCGAAGTTGGACGCTTAACCGACTGAGCCACCCAGGCGCCCCGTGCATGCTCAAGATCTTAAAACTGATGACTTGTGAGAGAGTTCGGTTTTAACAAAACTGAAATAACAGCTCTAAGAAGTGGGCAATATGGAGCCCATTATGATCATCCCTGTTCTCACTATATAAGAACACAGGTTTGACAACTTTCCTGGATCAACAGAAAGGCACGTAGACTGACTCCAAATCCCAGAAATTTGTCTTGCCACACCTCACCTGAAAGATAGCCAAAACAATGAGGATGCCTAACACCTGGGGCTCTAGGTCAGGTGGGAGGTCTGAAATCGAAGCTGTTGTCCTGCAGGATTTCTCCAAAGTTTGGGTTCTTCACAAGGAAGTTTGCATCCTTTACTTCCTCCCCATTTGGCTCTCCTAGCCTGTCCTCTTTTTGACACTGAACATTGTTTCTGCTCTCGACACTGATTACATCTGTAAACAGCTAGTCTCTGGAAAGTGCTCCATTTGGCTGTCAGCTCTGTATAAAGTCTATTATCCACTAAGTAGCATCAGCTTCTTCCTCAAAGTCATCATCCTCTGGAGAAGGGTCAACAATCAGAGGCAGAGAAGTTTGCTGTGCAGGGCCCTAATAGACTCCAGAGGCCACTTTAGAAAAAGTCACCAGGGACCTCAATGCATCAGCAGGGCCATGGAGAACCCGCCCTGTGGCGTAGATTTTGTTGCCAGCATGGTCTGAGCTAGTCACAACAAGGATATGGCTGGTCCATGCCTATATTCTCAGGGTGCTCATTCTAGACAGCCCAGGGGTGCAGCTCTCAGAGATGCTGGTAGGCAATGCCTTGACCTGCTTAGGATACAGAAGGCAGAGGTCAGCCCTGTGAGCTCTGTACCCAGGCCAGACTGTCCCAGACCTATGAAAACAAACCTAGGCTGCGGCCTCTTGGAGACCCATTTATGGATTTCCTGGAAAATCCACACCTGTTCAGGGAGTCTGAGACCATCCCTGAATAGGTGCTTCCAGAGGCAGTCCCCAAAGAGGCTCAGAGGTTCCCCTTTGCCACCCTGAATTTTGCAGGGGGCTGCAAAAATATTTTACCCTCAAATGCGTCCATCACCTATGTGCTGCTCACGTAGACTGGCGGGTGCTAATACTATTTGGTTCTGGCTTGCCTCTCTAACCCCAAGGCCTTCATTCACGCTCTTCAGATGGGTTAATGCAAAGAGGAAAACAGATGGGACCTGGGAGATCAGCATTCAGCAGGGACAGGCTGAGGGGTGCTAACTCCATCCCCTCTTGGGCTCCTGCTGGAGGGAGGCGGACAAAGCAGCTGTGGAGAGAGATGGCTCAGTGGGGTTGCTGGAGCCTATGTAAGCACAGGGCATGGGCTATACTGGTTGGGTTTGGGTTTCCTTAAGTCCTCCAGGAGCTATTCCAGCCAGTGGAGGAGGCTAGAGGCTAGAGCAGGGGTTGTAGACTACAGGTCTGCGGACCAGGCTTGGCCTGCAGGTATGCACGGTGTGGTTCACACAGTATTTATTTTTTTCCCTTTAAATTAGTTGCCAATGCTTTAAAAATAGACTTATCTTTAAATCTGGATTTCCCACCTGCTGTGAAGAATGAGACTATCTTACAGCACCGGGCCTACATGGGCAGTCAGCTAAAGGCGGGGAGCAAGTGCCTCCTTTAGACAAGGCCACTCCATGCGTAGGCGTAATGCTCCCAGGGACGGCGTAACCAAGGGCGGTGGCGTCAACAGGCAGTTGTCAGAAGGCCAGGCCTCACACTGATTGGGAAGGGGACTCACTCAGAGCTCCGCAGGCCTCAGAGCAGGAGGCCAGGCTTGGCTCAGAGCATGAATAGTCTCCAAGGGCTGGCAAAAAGAAGCAATTGTTTGCGTCCCTCCTCCTCCTCAGGGCTGGGAGTCCTCCTAGTTCCTACCACCAGAAGCCAAGAGCCCTGCGGTCCAGGATATCAGCATCAGACAAGCAAGTCCCTGCCTGTCCTCAGTTCAGAGGACACATGCATAACATCCTGTAAGCTACAGACGGCATTACCTCAGCACCGTGGGGCAAGAAAGAAGTGCCTTTTCAAACAGTATCAAGAAGATTTCAGGAAAGGACTGGCATGTGCCACAGAGGGTTCAACTCGGGCTGCAGAGCTGGGAACCCAAACGTCTCCAGCTCAGGTACCACCAAGCCCAGCAAGTGGGAGCCGAGGCTCAAATAAGTCCCGTGAGTTGAACTCAGGAGGTGCCAAAGAGGAGTCTTCCACACTCCTTACGTTTTATCCTTGAAAGATGGAGGGAACACAGTGAACGTTATGAGCATAAAAATAACTTGGGTAAGTTCAAGGGAAGATCTTTAAACCTGAGAGGTGACAAATAAGACCTACCACACTCCAAAATATACCAAGCCAAGACATCCACCTCTGTGGCACATGCGAACCACAGGCCTGGTACCTCACCCACAACACAAAAGATAATTGATCTTAAGACTTTTTCAAAAGTCTAAAATCCAGTCCATGGGCTGATGTTTGAAGAGCAAGACAGCCTAACCAGGTGGAGCTGGGAACCGACACCAGACTCCTTGACCCAGAGACGCTGACGAGGGAGCAGAACCACTGTGCAGAGAGGGGTGTAGGGCAGCCCTGGAAGAGCAGCCGGGACAGGCGGTCAGGTAGCTCAGGCACCAAATGCGGCCATGCTCTGACCTCCGATCCCGGGGACTGCCACCAGGCAATGCCTTCCTGAAACATCAACCTGACGTTTTCCAGACACGTTCCCTTCCACATTCAAATCTTCTTTGTTCTCTGGGGTTTTGCAATACTCCATCCCCACCTCAAAGCCACACCTCTATCACTCTTTGTGAAAATGCTTTCCCGCCCTTTGAGAGCTTTCCATTTTCTTTCCTGGTTTTCAAAAAGAAGACCCAGCTTAAAAAAAATAAACTCAACTCCTCCTGCTACTCAGGGAATAGGATGAGCAAGAGAAATGCACCCAATTTAAATAGAAAAATCAAATGGAGCCACGAATGTGGTAACTTATTAATCAGAGATGAAAAGAAAGCAAACTAGAAAGCATACAGCTTCTGAGCTGTTGGGACTAGTTCCATCTAGTTGAGGACATCTACACAGAAGTACTGACTTAAAAAAAAAAAAGTTCTTGAAATGCACTAAAAACTAAGAAATACTTGGAAGCAAACGTTTCTCCTAAGACCAAAGGTCAAATGCAAAGCCTGTGTTCATTACCATTCTATCAAAATGCTATTTGAATTTTATGCTGATCATGACAACAAAAAACATTCGAGCTCTGGGGGAAAGATTACATATAAGCAGCCATCTACTTGAACCCATGCATGTTAAGGGACTGTCATTCTTTAAATAATTAGTGAGCACCTCCCATGCAACAAGGACGATTCCAGGAGCTCCAAAGCATAAACCGTGATTGAAGTTTGTGTGTGTGTGTGTGTTTCCCAAAATTGCTGAAAATATAAGAACCATTCAAGGAAGTTAGATCATCTTGATAGATTTCAAAAAATTTCTAATCAGCCTCTCAAAAGATTTGGAAAAGCCTGAATAAAAACTCAACACCCCTTTCTAAAAATTCAGCTCATCATTTACCATACGGTAAAATCGTTCAAGGGTAGAAAAATGATTATTTTACTTTCCCTTCAAAAAAAAAAAAAAGCCTCTCAGTGGTAGTATACAGTAAGATTTAAAAATGGAAAAAACTTCACTCTGATGCTAAGCATACAAAATCATGGGGCGCCTGGGTGGCGCAGTCGGTTGAGCGTCCGACTTCAGCCAGGTCACGATCTCGCGGTCCGTGAGTTCGAGCCCCGCGTCAGGCTCTGGGCTGATGGCTCGGAGACTGGAGCCTGTTTCCGATTCTGTGTCTCCCTCTCTCTCTCTGCCCCTCCCCCGTTCATGCTCTGTCTCTCTCTGTCCCAAAAATAAATAAAGGTTGAAAAAAAAAATTAAAAAAAAAAAAATCAGAGAACCAAATCGTATCTGTGGTGTGCAGAGAGCTTTGTAAATTACACCTATACCTGATGACAAGGAGGATGAAAAGGAAACAAGACATTTACGAGATTTAATTGAATGGGATGAGAACAGCTCCATTTTTCATGTTGACAGCAATTAAATTACATTAAAATATTATGTGTGTAATACATTTTATCAAAGAAGACTACGCAAACTGGGAGGGGAAGAGGGAGGTGGGAAGGGGGCACACAGGAAGCTAACCAACTTCCTCAAACCCCAGATGCCGCCAACAGTCAAGCTGTGGCTGGTGTCAGAAGGGTGACTTTGTCAGCACAGCGCCCCTGAACCTGGCTAGATCAAGTGCCACCTGGGAATCTGTCTAACCAGCTCAACAGGTTATTCCTCTCAGGCCAGCCCTTCTCGCCCCTCCCTGCAAAGCTCAGTTGGGGCAAGTTTCACCTGCTGTACAAACACCACACGCAGAGCGCCCAGCCTACCTCCAGGCAGGATGGGGGAGTGAGTAGTGAGAGCGGTGACTGGACACAGCGACTTTTAACACATGAGCTGCGTTATAACCCCAGGGCCTTCAGCCCTCACGCCCTTACCTGTTGAAGCATCTCTTCGGCGGCATTGAGTTTCACCTGGTGTCCTTCCAGGCACACCTCCAGGTCCCGAATCTTTTCTCCTTGTGCTTCCACTTGGTCTGTGAGGACACTCACCTGCCCCAGGAAATAAAGCAACGGTAGAGGAGCAGAAATGGCTCACCTACTGCTGGGAAACCATACTACTGATCCATACATAAAAATGCCTTTTCTTTTTGGCGGGCAGCAGGTGGGGGGAGTGAGTGTCCTGGATGGAGAAAACTCCAGCTGTTTTCTTACCTTGCCATTGCCTAACTGACGTTGTCACATTTCCTGCTCTTGACACACTCCAGAGAAAAATACCCAGCAGTCAGGAGAGGTGCCTCCGGGCTGGACTCCCGCTCCTTAGTCCTCTTACAGAGCTCGCTCTGGCAGTCCGGACCTCAAGGCATATCTCTGCCGGCAGGCCAGGGCTCTGCCACCTCATGTGGAAGAGCAATCCAAACTCCTGGGGAAACTAACCAATGACCTTACCTCTCTCATAAGGGTGTGAGGGCTGCTCACCTATCAGGCGAGTGTTCTGAAGCAATTAAGGAATGTGGGATGTAAAGGGCATGTATTAGCACCGACAAAACTTGGCTCCAGAAAGGATTTTGTGCTTCACAGGCCAAAACATGACTCTAAGTCATAACACACACATGCCACATTGCACATAGAGTGGCAGGAAAGTCGTCTTTCTAAAAATCATGAAGAAGATCTCTTGGGATTAATAAAGATCCATTTATAGGAAGTCCTTTAAATTATACCCTAACTACATATGGAGGATTTCCATAGTCTGCTCTAGTAGCAAACTGCCCCCAGATCCTCCCTTTTATTAAAAAGGTGCCTCAGAGCAGGAAGATGAAGAAAGAGAATGGATGGCCTCCCCAAATAAAGAAATCAATGACTGGTAAATTAAGATCCTTTAGACACTTTTGGTTTTCAACCAATGGTTGAGTCATTGTCATTTACATATAGATTATCCTAAATGATTTCTCAGTCTGTAAAGGAATGATAGCTGGAGCACGAAGGAGTTAATGTAATTCACTTATGAGCGTTTAAATAAACTATCAGTTATAGGGGCACCTGGATGGCTTAGTCGGTTAAGCATCTGACTTTGGCTCAGGTCATGATCTCGCAGTTTGTGGGTTCAAGCCCCGAGTCAGGCTCTGTGCTAACAGCTCAGAACCTGGGGCCTGTGTCTGGGGCCTGGATTCTGGGTCTCCCTATCTCTCTCTCTTTCTGCTCCTCTCCCACTCATGCTTTCTCTCAAAAATAAACATTAAAAAAAAAATTACAAAGCTCCCTTTACAAAGGAAAAAAAAAACCCCAAATGAATACTGCTACTTTAAGCTCTCCATTTTTATGTTCCCAAATGGATAAAGAATTATTGAAACCTATTCTTGGAGTTGATACACAGTGTACAAATATTCCAGTTATAATCCAAAAACAGGTGCCTTCTGCCAGTTAGGCCCATCTTGAACACAAACCTTCGTGGTGGTTTTTTCAATCCTCATGACCCAACACTCTCAGCAGTCCTGGCCTTTTATAGCTACTAGCTGTACTTTCAAAGGGGTAGGAATCCAGAGGGTGGCCTTTCAGAGCTCCCTGGGTTTCAGAGTTTCTGTTTGGGAAGGTTGCGTTATGGTTAATCTTATTATGAGGATTAACACATATCATCTGCACCACACCTCAGGGCCATGCGCTGGCGGTACCCACATGAATATGTGGTCTCCAGCGTTCCATGCCCTGTAGCTCAGCTGTGTGTAAGACTCAAGACATGCAGGGCTACGGGCTCTTTGCAAAACTTTTTTTTTTTCCTTACAAACTTGAATACAGTAGAAAGATCATGGAGAGAGGCACAGAAAATTGGGACAACTGTATAAAGATCCTAGAAGGTGACCTTTATTCAATAAAAACAAATACTTTGAGTCCCTAACTCTGTGCTAGGCATAATTTTAGGCACTGTGGGGAATACAGAAGTGGAAAAAAAGGGAGGGGGTGAAAATCCTTGTCTTAAAAAAATGACATTCTGATGAAGATATAAAAGATTTTGATTTTAGTGTATATGCTGCCAAAGTGAGCACAGAAGATTGTGTGTTTTAAGTATTATGAAAACAAAGTAATTTGTTATGTGTGATTTGCCTCGTTCTTCTCCAAGTAGATCTAGGAAAACATTCTGGGCCAAGTGATTGAATTAATTCAGTCTGGCTGAGCTGCCTTGTAAGTTAAGCAAAAGGCTCTACCATGTTGAGGGTCTAACCGGCTCCATGGGTCACTACAAAACAGGGTGGTCACCTACGAGCAGCTCTGAAAGGCTGTTCACAAGCTCCTGGAATAGAAACCACTAGGACCCACTTCTGACTTCTGTGATTAGTTTCCCATGTGTGTTAGGACTGGAAATAAGGATTCTTCAAGGATTCAGGGTTTAAAAAAATTTTTTTTTAATATTTTATCTTATTTTTGAGAGAGAGACAGAGTGTGAGTGGGGAGGGGCAGAGAGAGAGGGAGATACGGAATGCGAAGGAGGATTCAGGGTTTAAAACAAAACTGTGAATGCCAAAGAGAACATTATCACAGAGGACTTTACTAAATTGTGTACCTTTAAACAGAATGTGTGGTTTCAGCCACAAAGGTTCCTGGTTCAAAGGTTTGTGAGTTCATACTTTTTGCCACAAAATTTCAAATTGGAAACTCTGATCAATTGCGTCATTGGGACGGAGTTTCAAATTACACATCCCTCAAAATATGTGCGATATAATGTGCTATATAATCTGCCCCCTCCTACCTCTCTGAAGGTAGTTCCTCCCCACCAGATTTCTTCACGGTCATCAACTCCAGCCACACAGACCCTTGTTGTTCATCCTATACACCAAGCACACTCCTTGCTCAGGGTGTGTGCGGGGCCAGCTTCCCTGCCTGGAATGTGCTTCTCTGGGCATCCACGGGGATCCCTCCTCCCTAGCTTGCTTCAGGACTCCTATCAGGGAGGTCTTCCCTGACTACATAATCCTTACCCTGCTTTCCTTTTCTCCATAGGATTTATCACTGTCAGAAACATTTTATGTATTGGTTTATTGGAGAGACACCCCCCCCCCAACACACACACATTCTGTAAGAACAGCAACTTAGTTTATTTTCTTCACGGCTGCAACCCCAGCACCTAAAACTAGTGTCTGCCAAATTGCAGTTGCTTACATATACATATTTAATGTTTATTATATATTTTTGAGAGAGAGAGAAAGAGAAAAAAAATGAGCATGGGAGGGGGAGGGGCAGAGAACAAAGGGGAACAGAGGATCTGAAGCAAGCTCTGTGCTGATAGCAGAGAGCCTGATGCAGGGCTTGAACTCATGAATGAACCATGAGATCACGACCTGAGTCGAAGTCAGATGCTTAACCGGGTGAGCCACCCAGGTACCCCTCAAATATTTTTTTAATTAACAAATTAATGGGAAAAAAAAGATATAAATTATTTAATTGCACATTTGGCCCAAGCTTATTTAAAATAGGGACAGGGAAAAAAAGAAAAGGCTAGGGAAAAAAGGCCAAAATGTTAAACTCCCTTTTTGACTTCCAAAATTCCTAAAATAATCATTCATTACTCTTACATTCATAAGATGAATAAGATGAAATAGAAGGAAAAAAAGCCAAATAGCCTCTTAATTCCAGTGCTCTAAGCTAAAGCCCACAGTGGAGGGTTCTAGAACCCTACCCTGCCCCCTCTCCCTAAACACTACCAGCCCTGTCTACCACGCTTCAAGATTTTGAAGGAGCCAGGACTGGAATATGTCCTTTCTGATCCTCCAAATCATCAATCACAGTGCCTGATACATACCAGGCACTGAACAAATGCTTGATTTATGCGTTTGAGAGTGAACACAGCAAAGAGCCCCTATCACAACAAAAGGCCTCATGTAAGAATGCTCAACTTCATGTCCTGCCAAGGAACAGGAGTTTTCAGAACTGAAATGTTCCTTTGACTATCTTTCTCCATAACAAGTTTTGGAGTTCCTTTCTTTGAGGCAAGAAAGTCATCAAAGGCTCATTAGCCCATGTTACCAGCTCCAGGGGATTTGGCCTCAAAGTGATCAGTCTAGATCCAGCTCCAGACGATTTGGGCCTGATCCTGTCAGCATCCAACCTTACATCCATATTACTCACGGCTGTTTTATTAGAGACATGAGGACACATCTTATCTCCCTTAGAAGATTCCTGGGCTCCTAGAGGACAGGGCCTCATTCATCAGCCTGGCCACAGAGCTTCCAGTGTACAGGCTCAGTAGTACAAGGATTAGTAAAGGAACACATTCACGGCCCGAAAGCCAGTCCAGCGTTTCACTGTGGCCTCAGTGACTTTCTGCTTTGTTTCAGGAAGAGTCTATTTAAAAAACATACACTTCAGGAGCAGGATAAATCCAACAGGGGAAAAAAAACCTCTTGTACTTCCCTTCCACTTAGGGCACTTACAGAGGCGGAGGTAACAGGATAAGCCGTTTCCCATGAAAAAGGACCCACCTGTAAAATGAGGGACTCCTTATCTCCTTCTAGACGTGCCAAGCGTTCCTGGTACGTTTCATTACTAGCAGCACCGTGGTGATTCACCTGGGACTAAAAAGGGGGTGGGGGGGAAAGAATTACACTTAAAAGGTTGGGAAAACATCTTACCAACTTTAAAACGAAGTGTGTAATTTGTGAGGACAGCACATGCTGGTTGCATGTGCAAAACCACCCACCTAAACAGGAAGCCACAGGATTTCAAAACTACTACGAGGAGGACCATTGAAAGGTGCGCCTTGAAAGCTGGCAAAATCATCCCCCCACCCCGATGACCTCACCCTTGGCCAGGAAGGCCTGAATGGAACTCCAGACCCAGTGGTGCTTGACTTGACTGGGCGTGTTGGGTCTGGTTTAGGTGGAGGCACAGCCTGCCAGACGCACCAACGGCAATGAGGCTACTCTTTGAGGAGGCCGGGGAGCTGGTACCATTCACCAAGGAGCTATGTGGGAACAAGTTCCGCACAGATCTCGGTCTCTCCTAACTCTCACACCAGAGTTCTCCAGACCCAAGGCACACCTCACAGCATGGAGGCCCATCCTGAGCACCGCAGGGAGCACAGAGGATGGGGGACGCCAGCCACAAGGCCCTTCATCCACTCACACATGCCTTCCAGGAGTGGCTAATCCCTCCCCTCCAGAAGGGCTCTAGCAGGCCAGGCTGGCACGCTGCATGCTTACTTCTCTCGGTTCTCACACTACAAGGGAAGATGAAACATCCCAAGAAGACCCCAAATGATAGCCAGAGGGACCTCAAAGGACTAACAGGAAACAGAGAGATCCAGAAACCAGAAAACAGCATAAAGGGAGAAGAAATAAAATGGCAGATGGGAGGCAGAGTTCATAAAATGCTCTGAGCAAGAGACAGGAGGCTTCAGTCACTTTTTGGGTGTATCTGACCTGGTTATAGGCAGGGAAGAGGGAGAGAGGTGGCTGCTAATGTGACTGAGCTGGCCCAATGCCACCAACACTCCCTTCCTCCATGCTTAAAGGAAGACCGAAACCTAGAGGCCCAGGGTAGGCCATTCAGGGGCTTGGCAGCCTGAAAAAGCAGATCTGATTGCTAAATGGGGAAGTGACAATCATCAGAATCTGGGCTAGTCTAGAGGAGTAAATGCTCTGAGGTTTATGAGGCAGTCTCCTCATTCCAGAGGCAAGTCATGGTTTGCAAAGGAGTGGGTCAGAGAGGAACCCAGGCCGAGAGGTGGGCCCCTTCTCCTGAGCCCATTTCCCCACATTCCAACCTTCAGAATGGGCTTGCCAACCCCAGGCTAGCCAGGCCTGCAGCACCCGCCTCGGCACCACTGCCTTTCACTCCAGCCTCTCTCCAGTGTGCATCTTGTTCACGGTTGTGGAAGCTCTTTCATACCAGAGACAAAGGGCCTTAACAATCACAAACGACTTCTTTGTGTTCATGGCAGTTTATTGTTGCTACATTAATTCTGGTCCTCATATGGTCAAACTCTGACTAGTACACAAGGATATAATTATAACCGAAGTATTCTCAGAACCTAAAACGAGAGGAAAATAATTCTTAACAGCAGGTCAAATGCTTCTCTGTCAAATAACTCACATGATGGTGATTTTCAGGGAATAGCGAGAAAAGGACCCAGGCACCCAAGGGAAGCTGTGCACGTCTGATCCCACTACCAAAGTCGACACACGTATAGGGCCACCCACTCCTGGTAGCTACCATTTCTCCAGCAGGAGGTGAAGGAGAGAAGACCAAAGGGAAGACTGCAGCAAGCCACCACACCACTGTGCCTAAGTAGGACCCATACAATCACCCAGAGGCACAGCTATTTTTACTAACTGGCCAAAAAGCAAGTTGATGCCATAAGTTCAGTTAATACCCAAAATGCACGCCACAGAGTCTATAACAGATGACAGAAGTAGATTAAAAAACAAACAAACAAACAAACAAAACAAAAAACGAATCTGGATCCACTCTAGCAGCCGAAGGAAAAAGACAAATATGGTAAATAAAGTCAAACTGGGAGAAACAGAACTATTCCTACAGAATGGAGAAACTTTCAGATTTTCAGAGACTCTATGCAATGGGATAAACATCCCAATATCCATGATGATATCCTCATAGTAAACAGAGCCTAGGAGAACTCACTGCTTTGCTATGATACCCTCTAAATAGATCAAAGGTTAAGGGATCATATAGGCTAAAGGCCAAAGCAATTCAATGGAGAACCAATGCAATGTGGCCCAAGCAAAGGACAGCAGATCTATAGCAAGCACTTATATAGTACTAGACATGAGCCAGGTGCTATTGACAGTACTTTACATGCCTTAACTCTTTTAATACTTCCCATAATCCTGTAAGATGAATATTATTTTGATTCCATTTTGCAAACGAAGGAACTGAGGCACCAAATGTATGAACGAGGCATACGTGGATATTTTGCCTAACTGACTACATGGGAAATTAATTTTCTGTTGTAAGTTAATTAAAGAGATCAAGTACAAATTTTGTTTTAGATATTGAGACTGTATGAAATTTCACTTAAAATAAGTTTTAAAACACTATCTGAACCTAAATGTCCATTAATAAAGGAGTGGCTAGAAAAACTACGGCTCATCCATATTGTGGACAATTTGTGGCATTTCAGAGCATGAGGTAGGTATTTATGAACCATCACAAAAATATCAGATATCTTGGAGAGTGAAAATAGCAAGATCCAATGAATCATACAGTGTGGTATTAGAAAACAGTACTACACAGCTCCAAGGGTATATGGCAGATGTATGAAAATAAATAGACCAAGTGTCTGGAAGGCTACACAACTCAGAACAGTGCTGTCTCCTGGGGATGTGTTTGGGCTACAGAAAGCTGGGGATGGGAGGTTCGGTCAAGGTGGGATTTTACTTCATCCATAAACATTTTTGTAAGAAGCTCAAATATTTTCTTGAATAGTTAAAATACATTTTAAGATCTAGGAACACTGAGTACCAACAACAGTGGTTTCTGGTACTTGCTTCCTCTCATAGCAGCCTTGAGGGGCACACCCTCTCCCCCAGCAGTCACACTGGTCCACGTGATGGTAATCCTCATGGCAGAAAGGCACCTCCCTTGTCTCAAATCGTGGTTCTAGAGTAATAGAGCATCTTCCTATCTTGTTCAGTCTACCAAAATCACTTCTGCTCTCTAGCAAGCTTTCAAGAAATATTAAACAGCAGTGAGATGGAGATAACATCCCAGACAGAAGTCTGCAGTATCACCATTCTTTGCTTTTCCTGACATACAGAGCCAGGTCTTCACAATATAGAAAAGATTGAGATCTTGAAAACTGCAGTCCCTTAGAAAGGCACAGACCAGGATAAAACACCATCTCCACTTGAAGAGCCTGAAAAGCATCTGAGAACAGAACCAAGAAGAGGATTATTTTAGAACTATTTTGTTGAATGCCAATATTCATCAGCCGAAGGTGAGGATTTCATTACAGCATAAAAGACACGTGGTTATGAAAATGTTATTCCAATTATTCAGAAACATGTTCAAAGAGAGATGGGGAGCGCCTGGGTGGCTCAGTTGGTTGAGTGTCTGACTCTTGATTTCAGCTCAGGTGGTGATCTCGTGGTTCGTGAGATTGAGCTCACGTCAGGCTCTGCACTGAGTATGGAGCCTGCTTGAGATTCTCTCTCACTCCCTCAGTCCCAACCTCACTCTTACTCTCCACTCTTTCAAAATAAACAAAACAAAAAAAAGAAGAAGAAGAATTAGGACACAGTTCTGTCTTGTCCTACTTTAAAAAGAGTTTGTAGGGGCGCCTGGGTGGCGCAGTCGGTTGAGCGTCCGACTTCAGCCAGGTCACGATCTCGCGGTCCGTGAGTTCGAGCCCCACGTCGGGCTCTGGGCTGATGGCTCAGAGCCTGGAGCCTGTTTCAGATTCTGTGTCTCCCTCTCTCTCTGCCCCTCCCCCGTTCATGCTCTGTCTCTCTCTCTGTCCCAAAAATAAATAAAACGTTGAAAAAAAAATTAAAAAAAAAAAGTTTGTAGGGTGTTGGGGTGGTTCAGTAGGTTAAGCATCTGACTTTGGCTCAGGTCATGATCTTGTGGTTTGTGGGTTTGAGCTGCATTGGGCTCTGTGCTGACAGCTCAGAGCCTGGAGCCTGCTTCAGATTCTTTTTCTCCTCTCTGCCTTTCCTTCACTCATGCTTGGTTTCTCTCAAAAATGAATAAATCTTAAAAATTAAGAAGAGCTTGTTTAATCAGAGGGTATGCCAGTTTCCCTAATTCTAACAGTGGAATTGCAATAGGAGACTCAGATCAATTTGCAGATCTGGGTCCCTGAGTGACTCAGGTTTGGGTGTCTCTGAAAACTCTTGTCCATGTTCTCTAGGAGGTAAATCAGTGATAGAGTCGCTGCTCAGCTCTCCACACCTGAGGTTGGACTGAGAGACCCATGCTGGCAACCAACCAAGGGAAGACAGTCAAGTCAAATTCTGAAGGGTGCTACATGCTAAATTTCTATTCCTCCACACTCTGGCATGGCAGGGGAATTTAAAGGAGAGTTCTACCCTGTTCTACTCTATCAAGGATGCTCACACTATTGATGAGTAAAAACGAAATATTTCTTATTTATATTCAACTAATGAGGTTAGCCCCTAGGCTAGATCTAAAAGACTGCTGATGTACTACTAGGTGGGATATACATCAATTTGATTTTCTCTTCTGTTTTATTATTTCTACAAATGTGACAGAAGAAAAATGGATCTTCTCATTCAAATTTGCTACAGAGATGTTCCTGAATCTATAACTGAGGTTAGTTACCTGCTACATTGTGTGGGACCAAGAGATACTGTGTGGAAGCAAGGTATCTGTGTACTCTATGGAGGTGAAATGGCAAGTACAGATTGACATTTCCATGTCCTCTTGCATCTTGACTGAACGTCACAGTGAAACATGCTCCCTCTCTCGTATCACAGAACTTAACAGAATGGGGAGTTCTTCTTGTATGTATGTTGTCAATAACTGAGTAACTTTAGCCAAGATTATTGAAGCCAAACCATCTTTGCCTTTATCAAGGCATTGCTCTCAAGAGTCTGGGAAATCCATCCTCTAAAAGCCAGAACTCTTGAAGGCAAATATGAAACATAGTCCAGAACTTTCAGATCAAGGACTTCCTGAGGCCTTGAGAGTGATGTTACTGTGAGTCCTCAGGAACAGAGAAAACACAGCACTTTGACTCTGGCAGGTTATGGATCTATTTTTAGAAGACCCCAAATGCTATTACTTCTAGGGCTGGGCAAGCATAGTATAGAGCTCTAACAATCAACAGTCTAAGGTGGGGCTATTTCCTAAGCCATTATGAAGTGGAAAAGAGAGGCTTTAGGATGATTTAGCAGCCATGTGGGGTGTTCTATGGTTGGGGGTCATGGAGTTGATCATAAAAGTTAATCAGTCTCAGTGATTAGGAGGGCAGGGAGAGGCGGGAGGGAGGACTGTGTGTGTCTAGGAAGGAGAGCACTGACCAGACAAGATTCCAGCATGGATAGTTTCTACATAAAAGGAAGTTTGTGCCAAACAAGGACACTAGTCTAATCTAGACTGAGTCCTGCCTCCACCTCTCCCAAAGGTTGGTGAATAAGCCACTTACTCTTAGCAAGTTCCTCATGCACAGAGAGCTGAATACCAACAGACCCAAGAAATAAATTAGGCTTTCCATATCTTGGGGGTCACTGCATTTTAATTAGGGATGAGATTATCTGGGGACATTTAGAGCCCCCAAAAGAAACTTATTAGTTATAAAAAACAAAAAACAAAACAAACCAAAAAAACCCTCCAGACTAGTCAATTTCCCTGTTTTCTTGTTCAGGGGGGAATAAAAGATGAATACAGAGAATTCTTCTGAACCCTGGAATCTACTGTCTGTCTAGAATAGGCTGGGCCATTGCCTTTACTGTAACCACATGGCACGGGTGAGAGCTGCCACCTTCTTAGAGATATTCTCACCCCTCCCAGCCACCTGATCTAAAGCATGGATGGTTGAATCCTTTTAAACTGAAAATTTAAACTTGGGAATAGAAAATGGTAGTGGTTGTGCTAGAAGGTTCTTACGTTTGTTAGTAGCCATGTCCTCATTCTGTGGAAGCAACTGGTTTGCAGTAGAAGTCAACAAAGAAATCAACATGCATGGAAACACAAATAAAAGCCAAGAAAGAGACTGGTGGCATTCTCATCTCAGATTCACGTGGTCTCAAGGCAGTGAGATTTCTGCCCTTCCTGTTGGTTCCCTCTTAACCTGCACTGGGTTCAAACTGAGTTTCTGTTGCTTGCACCCGACAGCCCAGTCTCATGCATTTGTCTCAAAAGGTGCTAAATCAATTGACCAAAATCTACTCCTTTGAAAACAAGAAAGAATTCCTGTGTTTTGGATAGAATACTAAGTTACAAAGAAATTCTGCCTACTGCTGATTTCCTTGAATGGGCAGTTGAGGAAAAAATGGTCAGTTCTGAGCCAACTATATAGTTAATAACAGGATCATTAGCGAAAGCCAGTGTGGCACAGAGTATGTCTGTGGGATGCACTGGGATAAAAATGGCACTCAGTCTCCTTCATGTGTGAAATGGAAGACTTCCTATCTACCATCTGTTGGCCTCCATTAGTTCGCATGTAGAGAAAGAAGGTTAAGGCAGGAGATAATACAAGATGTGATAGACCCATGGGTATCAACTGGTGTGTGTGTGGGGGGGGGTAGTAAAAATAAATTAAAACACAACAATAAATAGGAAGGTAAAGTAGAGCTAAAAGATGTAAGGGTGAATGGGAAACGAATAAATAATGGGTAATAAGAACATGAAAACACCTAACTGCCATTTAAGAAGTTATATTGAGGGGCGCCTGGGTGGCGCAGTCGGTTAAGCGTCCGACTTCAGCCAGGTCACGATCTCGCGGTCCGTGAGTTCGAGCCCCGCGTCAGGCTCTGGGCTGATGGCTCAGAGCCTGGAGCCTGTTTCCGATTCTGTGTCTCCCTCTCTCTCTGCCCCTCCCCCGTTCATGCTCTGTGTCTCTCTGTCCCAAAAATAAACGTTGAAAAAAAAAAAATTAAAAAAAAAAAAAAAAAGAAGTTATATTGAAAGACTGACATGTCTGTACATGCTATACAAATGTGAGGTCTGGGAGCTGGGGGGCCAAGAGCTGGGGTACCTACACCCACCCTTTGCCCATCTGGAATTCAAGGCAGGGGATCCCTGGAGACTTTGTTGTGGGCTTCCATATGCATGTGCAGAATTCCTATAGCCTCCTCCTACACAGGCATGACGTCTGCAAAATGACAGGTACGAATGTCTAGGAGGCAGGGCTGTACTAACCATGTGTACTCTTAGGTAGGTCATCTCATTTCAGGTTTTCCTATCCTTTAAATGGAAAAAATTATACCTCACAGAGCAATGTAGAGGGTCGGTTAGGTCATTAAGCCTCAAAATCTACAGGAATAAAGGCACAGAATGTTCTTTATAGAGGGATGCTCTAATATTTCCTGTCTAATACAAACAGCTTTTGAATGATGGTGGAAATATGGAAATCATTTAAACGGCTTTGTTTAAGCTAAAAGACCAAAGTACGGTTACAAGCAGTTCATCCCTTGTACTGACAGTTTTAATTAATTCATTCTTTTTGTTCAAGAGAACAAAAAGGCACTGTTTCTGATTAGGACACCTATGAAGTATCTGTAAAGATCTGTACAAACAGCCCAAGGGAACAATAACCAAAATATATTCAGGCTATAAAGAAAGAAAGAAAAAAAAAAAAAAAAAAAAAAAAAAAAAAAAAAAAGCCCAAGTGACAACATAGAACTCACTGCTATCTAAGAGCTCTGGAATCATACTTGTGGTGTGTATGTGTCACTTTTCCATCGTCCCTGAAAAGATGCCCACGCTTTGAGTCAGATCTACAGGACCACAAGTTTTTCTTCCTTGTGAGCATTTTACTACATACTGTAAGTAATATGTACTACATACATTACAAAGGAGCACAATGAGAATTTCAATAGCTGATAATCACCATCATAAAAACTTGAATTTTTATTTCTGTTCCAATCTGGAAGTCAGGTCCAATTTAAGTTAAACATGAGCATTCTAGCCAAATCACCCCTGGCAGCTTCCCCAGAGCCATCACCCTCTGACTCTAGTGGCTGGTTAGATTCCATGATGCTTGCTCACTCTTGGCTGGCCCCTCCATTGTAGCTTGGCAAAGGAAGAGCCATGTTAGGTCTCTGCAGAGGTCTGGAGAAGAGTGCTTGATGCCAAGGCCAGGAGCCATGCAGAATCCCCAGGAGGACTCTTTCTCCTCCTGGCCAGATTCTACCAAAACGGCATGCCCTTTGCATATGGTATGGTCCACTCTCAGGAATGCTGGGTAGGCCACTTGTACAGTATTCCCCTGACTGGTACAGGCTAGAAGACCTCCTGTCAGCACCTCACTTCTCTGAACATGGGGAAAGAGCTGGTTCCAGAACAGTCAAGTGGGGCAGACAGGAGGTCACATGGGGGTATCATGGGGCATGCAAGCATGGAGTGTGGGGAAATCCTAAGGCTGTATAGTGTGACAGCTCTAGCCATCACGGTGTTATTCAGAGCCAACAGCTACTTCTCAGAGCTGCTGCCTTGGGCTCCAAAATACATCTGCCCCCCATGTTTTGATACCAAGATCTGCAGTCTTCACAAGGTAAAGTCACATTTCCTTCAGTGCTTCTAATAAGCTGTGAATTCCAGTCCCCTCAGGATCCTGGCCACATTTCAAATACTGTCCCAACTGGTCAGATCATTTTATATGATGGCCTCTTGCTTGTAAATACATGAAGATTTTGAACAACATACTGGATAAGGCTCTCCCTTCATTAGTCATTAGGAATGTGAGATGACGTGTTTTTAGCTGAATAAGAAAACAAGGGAAAATGTGTAGTATTTCCAGGCTGCATAGTCAAGAGGATTTTATCAAATCCAGAAAACCAATTTTAAGTGAGTCATAGCTGCCAGGCATAGAAGAGAGGTCAGAGTCACTCAGGCCAGACTTCAAGCTCAGAAGTACCACTCACATACCAAACTTTTTAGAAACTTGAAAAATGTAGACCTTAAAAATAAGCGGACCAAAAAAAATAAAAAGTGGGTCATGAGGCAATACTCAATTCCTGTTACATAGTTCAGGTTACCTATCACCAAGGGAACCAAGCAGTAGCAGTGTAGGTGGGTGCTTCTAAATAGGAAAGTCTCCCTAGATTTTTTTGGTTAGGGAGTTAAAGGTTTTCTGTCAGTTATTATAAAACCAACTGTTCCCAGGACCAGTTCCACCTTTTCTAGGCAAAGAATAGTCAAGCCAGTTTACAATCTTTGGCACAGAGTTAAAGAAGTTTCTTCCAGATGCATTAGGAGTAGAGTGCAATCAGCTTCTTGACTACTTGGAGTCCAACAAGAGAAATCCTATCCTGACCTTGACCTCTTTAGGCCTTCCACCTCCTGGTTTCAATTATATCTTAGAGGAGGATAAATGTTGCTGGTAGAGGTGTCACTGTCAAATGATCTAAATGCCCACCTTCAAGGGAAAGTAAAGCAAAGTTCATAAATAGCAAACAGGTTTGTCGACTAAAGTTCATGTAATCACACATTCTTTCTTCACTTATCTATTCAATGACTCAAATATTCCTGAATACCTACTAGGTGCCACAATGTGCTAAACAAATGATTCATTCCCTGCCCTCAGAGAGCTTTGTAGTCTGACAGGGAGAAGTGATAAATATGGTCATAGAATAAGCCAGCAGCGGTGGTACAAGAGAGGGACGAATGGATTATACCCTCAAGGGAGAAGACAGGCTTTAGAGTGGAGTCACTGCTTGAATGAGCTTGGAAAGCTATGAAGGAACTCCCCCAGGAAAATGGGAGAGCAGAATCTCTGGAAAGTTTTCCTAATAAAGACTACCCATAAAGCCATGACCATCAACTACCCTTCAGACACTCTGGTTTCCCCCAGACTAACACAGAAAACAAAACATATGGTGAAGACCATCTACCTATAAGCTCCCTAATCAAGGAGTTGGTGTGATGTGCATGATGGCTCCTAAATGATCATCCTAAGGACGATCTGGAGTGAAAGAAATGCATTGGATTTACTAAGATCTTGTTCCAAAAGTGTAGCCTTGGAGAAGCTTGGTCCCCACTACAAGCTCTTGATCAGGTGGCTGGATACAGAAGGGACCGACAGTGTTGGGCTGCAGGAGAAGTGGCATTTGTAAGTGTGCTGGTATCTTGTGAAGGGAGGACATTAAAGCCAGGGGGATAGTACAAACAGGAGGTTCTAGGAGTGGTGCACTTTCCTCATCTTGCCAATACCAACAGACACACTGGCTCATTGTTATTAATAACATTTCAGGGACAGAGGAGTAGCATCAGGTGCTGGGGCTGGGATGGAGAGCGTGCTGTGACTGGAGACATTAGAAGTAAGTGCCCAGTGCTTCTTGGACTGTCTGGACACTCTGAGGAGCCAACAGTCAAATCGGCATGAGCATAAGATCCATAGGTGGAAAACATGGGATTAGGTGGAAGGCCAGAGTGAGGAGCTGGTTCTCTGGTCACAAGAATCCTGTTAACCCTATGAAATTCTCAAATGGGAATGAATCCTGGGGGAAATGGATACTAAAAGTTGCTAGAGAATCGGAGGCAGTAAGAACATTATAGAAGGAATTTGAGACAAGTCATTCGGGAAAAAGCCAGTGTGCAGTGGGTTTGGAAATGGTCAGGAAAGAGTAGGATGGTAAGTTTTCAGCCCACTGTTTCAAGATTTCTGATGGGGAAAGGCAGACACGTTATCAGGCAGCCTGGAGAAGCAAGTACCGGGTCAAAGACAGTCGTGATTTGTTTTGCTGTAAGAACAGAGGAGAAGCATTTTCTGCCAAGGACATGGACGAGCAGGCAGGGCAGAGAGGAGAGAAGAAACGATCAGAGGCACAAGCGGCTGCGGAACCAGACTAGGTCAGGAGGACAGGATCCCAAGTTAGCCTTGGCCCATGAAACAGAAGTTGAAAATGTTGGCTGTGAACACAGTTACATTTTGTGGTGAAGGGGAGGGAAGGGGAGAAGTTCATCTATGGGTGGCTATTTTTCCCCCAGCGAAGTAGGTGGTGACATCAGTTGAGAGGGGAGAATGCAGGGAGGAGTCTGCGATCCCCAAACACTGCTGCCCACCAGGGAGCTACCAATGGCTGTGCTGCTCTACATGATGCACGAGCTTTTTAGCAAGCGGCCCCAGTATGAGGTCACCTTGTTAAACCCTGCTGGGAAAAAGGCCTGAGGGCCTCTCCAAGAAGCTGACAGACAGGAGTCACAGGTGCCAGATGTCAGAGATGGTAGAATTCCAGCTCTTATGCTGAAGAATAGGATGGTTGGGCATGTTGGGTACATTGACTAAAAACGGGATGTACCTATACAAAATTGCAAACAGCTAGAACCCTTGAGTAACCATACCCACTGTTATCCTCCTCGTGGTCTTGAAAAACTTCTCCACCAGAATCATGGTGGGCATGTGGCTCTGGAGTAACCAAAAGCTGCCAGTTATGGTCCAGATCATCACCACCATAACTAATGCTTATGATGCATTTCCTAAGCACTTTACCTACATCGAATTATTTACCCATATTTTATGGTCAAGGTGATTAAATCCCAGGGAGGTTAAATCAATCATCTAAGGTCACATAGAGCAGAGACGTGAACCCAAGGAGCCGGACCCAGGGTGGGTGTGGTCAGCCAGTAGGAGAGACTTTCACAGAGGCTGCTGCTCACTTGTCTCCCTTGCACTGCAGTCCAACCACAGTGCGAGGTGAGTCAAGGCCTAGAGCTAGGATGCCTGTGTGTCTGTTAATCCTTGGAGCCTGTAGTGCTTCTGGCCCAGGCTACTGGATCAACCATTTGGGAGCCAGAGGACACAGAGTGAAATCTCGCATTAGCAGTTTGAGTTCATCCCATATCCTACTCCAGAACGCAAGCTAACTGCATAGGGGAGCCACGGTAATTCCTTTTCCTTTGTGACTTTGGGCTGGAAGTTGGCTTAAACACTGAAAGTGCTAGAAGCCAGCAGCAGCATGAAGAGGCTGACAGTGGTGGTATTTCTGTTCCTGGGAAAATAAGCTCCACTCAGAGGGCAGTGGGTGGGCCCCATAGACCCTGCCTGGAGCTATTTTTAGAGACTCTTTTCACAACGCTGTGGGTTGGAGCCACTGTTCTCAAAGCAGGGCAGGTGTGAGCTGTTTGTCAGTCAATCAGGAACCAAACAGCTGAGGGGCAGAGGCCCTCTGGATGCTTGTGGCAGGAGATTACCTTGTCCCTGGGCTCTGTTGGAGCTGGAGGAGCAGCTCTGGCCGGCCTTCACTTAGCAGCCATGGCCAAGCTGGCCAGAGCCAGCAGCTGCCGGGGCCTCTGGTTACTCACAGTGAGCCGGGACACAGCCACCCCTCTTAGGTCTTTGGTTTGAGACCTGGTGTGGAATGCAGAAAGGAGTGGAGAGTCGTAGGAACCAATGGCCTGACATGTGCTGCTAGAAGAGAACCAAACTGGTGCCCCTGTTCCACTTTCGACCCCCGCCCTCTAATTCCTCATAATGGCCAGTAGGAGTTAATGGTTAGTGAAAGTCTCTCCCATGCATGGTACTATGCTAAGCATTCTACAGACATTATCTTACCTGACCCTGTATGTGGCAGGCACTGTATCTTCTTTATTTCATAGAGGAAGAAATGTAGGGCTTGAGGTAATCTCTACCTGAGATCACATAGCCAGTAAGTGTGGCAAAGCCAGATTCCAAACTTCAAACTGCACGTTCTTAATGACGATAGTACACACTATCTCCTCCCCCAAAGGCCACAGAACAACACCCCTTTTCCAAGCCCATGCTTCCCTTCTAGCTCTGTGCCTCCTTGGCCATAGGCATCTC